ATCCTAAAGGGGATCCTAAAGGGGCTCCGGGACAGGGATTTGGGATAAAGGATGGAGGGACAGAACACAGGGAATGGATCCCACTGGGAAAGGGGAGCTTGGGCTGGGATCTTGGCAAGGAATTCCTGCCTGGGAGGGTGGCGAGGGGCTGGGCTGGAATTCCCAAATTCCCCTGGAGCGTCCGAGGAACCGGGATGAGCTCCAACCCCTTTCCCCCCACCCCAAATCCCAGGATTTACCCTTTTAAAACCCCAGAAAAACACTCAGGACCGGCCCTATAGGAAAAAAAAACAAACCCCAGGATCTCTTTTTCCCGGGCTCGTCCCAACCCTGCCGATGTCACCGCGTCCCCGTGGGTGGCACTGCCACCCCCCTCCCTGGTCCCCACGGTCACGTGAAGATGGCTGGCCGCCCCCGCAGCGCCGGATTTGGGATTTGGGATGGGATTCCGGCCTCCCGCGCTCGCCACGCGGCTCTGACTCAGCGCCSGCGGTGGCAGCGGCACAGGTGTCGCGCGTTGGTGGCACCGCAGGTGTCCCCTCCGCTGKCACCGCCCCCGCGCGGAGCCGCCGCGGCAACGGGAACGGCCCCAGAAAGGGGCAGAGGGGACAAAGCCGCGTGTCCCCCGTGTGGCCGCGGTGTCACCCCAAAGGCGGCGCTGGGTTTGGGGACAAACGGGACAAAGCCGCGTGTCCCCCGTGTGGCCGCGGTGTCACCCAAAGGTGGCGCTGGGTTTGGGGACAAAGGGGACAAAGCCGCGTGTCCCCCGTGTCGCCCCGGTGTCACCCAAAGGCGGCGCTGGGTTTGGGGACAAACGGGACAACGCGGAGGTGGCGCCCTCAGGAGCAGCCCTGGGGAAGGACCCGGGATTTTGGGCCGGGAACACGGCGAATTGGGGAATTTTGGGGAGCTGGGAGTCGCCCGGGTCCCTCTGTTGTCCCCCGTTGTCCCCCGTTGTCCCCATGTCCCCACCTTGACCAGGAAGTGGCCGTCCTTGTCCTGTGTCACCATCACGGCCGAGTCGTGCAGCTGCTCCTGGAAGTGGACGTGGCCGTGGGTCCCCTCCTGGGGGTGGCCCTGTGTCCCCTCCCGGGGGTGGCCCCGGGTCCCCTCGGGGGCGAAGCGCACTCCTGTCCCCTTGGCCTTGCCGCCTGCGGGTGACAAAGCCCCGGTCACAGCCGTGTCCCCAAGGGGGGTGGTGGCACAAGGAGGGGCTTCCCTGTCCCTTCACTCGGGACACAGGGACACGGGGGATGGGTGGCAGGGGACAGGTAAGGATGGAAATGCCACCAGCCCCTGTCCAGAGGGTCCCCAAATGTCCCCAGGTGTTCCCAAAGGTCCCTAAGTGTCCCCAGATTGTCCCCAGGCTCGGCAGACCCTGCCCCTCCTGTGATGTCCTCAAGACAAGTGACACGGGCTGGGGACACAGGGACACAGGGGACGGGTGGCAGGGGACAGCTGAGGGTGGAAGTGCCATCAGCCCCTGTCCAGAGGGTCCCCAAAGGTCCCTGAGGGTCCCCAAAGGTCCCCAAAGTGTCCCCAGGCTCGGCAGACCCTGCTCTGTCTTGTGACACCCTCAAGACAAGTGACACGGGTTGGTGACACAGGGGACGGCTGGCAGGGGACAGCTGAGCGTGCAAGTGCCACCAGCCCCTGTCCAGAGGGTCCCCAAGTGTCCCCAAATTGTCCCCAAGC